TCCCAACACCGACCCCTCAGGGACACCACTCATTATAATAGTATGCTATTAGATGGAACCACTTAATGCAGGAAGAGTTTTTTCATTCCTACTCTTTCTCCCCTCAGTTTCTCTGCTCTCTACTGGTGGGCCTAGCATCTTTCTGTTTATCTGGCTTAATACCAGGACTGTCTGTAATTTATTTACAAATATTTTCCAGCAAAAATAATTCTGGTGTTTGAAATGCTACAACTTTCTTTTGTTGCAGATGATGACCTAATCCAAGACTTCCTTTGGATGGACTGTTGCTGTAAAATTGCAGACAAGGTAAGTGTATTTCCTTATTATTTAATACAGCAAATATTGAGAGAAAAATCTGCCCGTAATCACTTGATAGCATAATGCAAATACAGACCATCATTTTTTTCTAATTATTTGTATGGCAGCTTCAAGAAACTCAATTTATGCTTTACTCCTTGTTAAAAAATTACAAAAATATCTCGGTGCAAGATAAATGTGCAAAACATTTGAGGAAATTATATACTGAAATAATATATTGATACTTCATTTTACATTTCCAAACAGTATCTCTTGGCAATGACTTTCGTTTATTTCAAGAGGGCTAACTTCACAATAAATGAGCACACCAGAATCAATTTCTTTGTCGCTCTGTAAGTACTTTTAAATTCCCTGGTTCTATCAGCATAAGCTTGACGTGATTTTATCCCTTTGTTTATGCCACTGATAATTTATGATATATGATGAGACTTCTTACGTGAGTGTGTAGTTGCTTGGGTTCTATATGAAGTATAGAAACATAATCTACATACTACATCTAAACAGTGCAAATGAAACATCCTTCCTCTCACACCACCTGTGTGGAACAGGCTTGAGCAGCAGCAAGGGGATGTTTGTGTTGGTGCAGTGATACACTGTGTGGATCCTGCCTACCAGGATAAGCCTGTGAACTTTGAACAAGAAGTACATGCAGGACAATACATGGCAACATCTATGTGACTCACACTGCCTGTAACAAGACCCTATTTTGTATCTCTGGCAGCCTTTAAGTCATTTGTTCTGAAATGTTTCATCGTGGCATGCACCTCCGGAGTAATTTTTTATTATTCTGTCAATGTGATTCAAGTCAATTGTGAAAATGTTGCTAGAGTATTTCTGAGACCTTCTGTGAACAGTTTTAAAACTGCTATACTTTGAAAGAGGTGCAGTCAGTAACCTGCCTTTACCAAGCCAGTGTAATCTCTCAATACTTGGCTGTACCTTCAGAGTGATTCAGTATTTTCTTCCAGTAGAGCTAGAGGAGTAGAAAGGGACAAAGGGTCTGTTGGGAAGGGGAACTAGAGGGACAACCCATAACCAGAAGTAGCACGGAGTGAAGCAAGGGAGAAACACAGACATTATAAAACTCCTTTAAAGTTTTAATTCATATTAGAATGGAGACCTTATTTAGTTGATTACTGCTAATGTAATGTGAGCAACATAATTTTTCAAGAATAGCTAAAAATCCATAAAGTAGGAGATGCAAAGTTTAACATTTTGTAAGATAGTTTAAACATTATTTAGAGAATCAGTCAGAAACTGTTCAAATTTAGTGCAAGGATACCTTGACAGTCTGGAGAAAGCTGTCAGGATGTTAGTTCTTGCATTATCTACTCATTTAGGAGCCTCTAAGGTGAAGTAATTTTGTTAAGAGTTTAAGTTTGTATTTACCCAAAGGATGCATATGGAACTTTCTGTAAAGCAGAAACAAACACTACTCCAGAGAGAAGGCTGTATTTTGTTAGCAGTTACTCCCACAATAATAGGAAAAAGAATGACTTTAATATTATGTCTTTTGATATTAGAAGTCATACTAATGTAGCGATTTAAGATTGAATAATATTTACAACCACAAACATATGTATGTTTGAAGGTATCTGGCAAATACAGTTGAAGAAGATGATGAAGAATCAAAGTATGACATTTTCCCATGGGCTTTGGGAAAAGCCTGGAGAAAGCTCTTCCCTGATTTCTTAAAGTTAAGAGATGAACTGTGGAGTAGAATTGACTACAGGGCTATTGTAAGCAGACGCTGCTGTGAAGAGGTAGGGAGGGTTTTAATCTTGTAGGTGCTGAAAGTACAACAGTTAATAGCAGCTAACAGTCTAGCTCTGCCCATATCATTTCTTCCTTACAGTGTGTACACAAGCCATGGGAAAGAAAAGATGCATGTGAAGTGTAACGGTCCATTTATCCTCTATCATTTATTTTTCTTCTCCATTTAAAATATATTTTTTATAACTATGCTTTTAAGGTAAACTAGAATATTTTACACCGCACTACTGCTAAAAGTGAAGTTTTTATTGACTAGAATCTTTCTGCTTTATGCATAATTTTTATTTTAAATTTACCATTGGTTGTTTCCCCTTTATTCACTTGAGAAATGCTTTTGCATGTGCGTATGTGCTTTACAAATTACAAGTTCATACATACGTAAAACCTTCAAATAAAAATCCCAGCACCTCAGATGAAATTTTAATCCCTTCAAAATGAATAATGTAACTTTAATTGACTTTTTAAGGTAAGGGCTTTTCACTGCATTTAAAAAAGAGAAACAGAAGGACGCACTTTTAACATTCTCTACTATAAATGCAGTGTAACAACCCACATTTTCCAAACATATTAGGAGGGGAAAAAAGACATTCCTCACTTTTCAGGTGGAATGTATTTGTCTGGAAAAGCCCTGTCATGTTCTAAGAACATAATGTTTATACAGATGGTAGAAAAGAAAATCTCACATACTCTAGAATTTCATCTCTGGGGATAGAATGAGATGCTGATGGGAAAAGTGCAAGGAACAAGGCCAGTGCAGAATGCTTTTCCCAGCACGCCCTCCAAGCTGCCAACAGTCATTAGTTCAGTCATGCTGTGAACCAGAAGATCCTTCTACTTGATGTTTAGTAGTTAGTAAAAAAACACCATCTTCTGTCCAACCTAGGAAGCATAAGCTGGTGTTTGTGATGATTCACGTGAATATACAAGGCTGTCAACTGTTGTTTCCACATCTGATTCACAACTGGTTTATTTGTGCACACCTAAAGTAGCATGTGAGACAGAAGCAGATAGACAACAGATGATCCCCATTTCAGCTCTGCCATGTGTGTATTGGATCCCTTGTTTTCCCATTGTTGTGGTTTCTGATCTAATGGCTCTTTGGTAGGTGATGGCTATTGCTCCAACACATTACGCATGGCAACGACAGCGGTCCATACACCACAGCGGAGCTGTGAGAAACTACAGTGATGATGAAGCACAGCTGCCCCGAGGACCTAGTGCTACTCCTACAGACTGCCTGCTTTGTGGTAAGAAAGGAAGATTTGTACGACTAGGATTATCATCATCTTCCTCCTCATCTACTGACACTTTGGAGATGATGGAATTACATTCATCCCAGAATTTGAAGGACACAGATGCAACTGAAAAAGTGCTGTTTGACTCTCCTTCCAATTACACCCAAGGTATAGTTTAAATATTGCAAATAATTTTCAATTAATTTAGGCAACTGAGGCCATATTTGCCCTTCAGACTGTAGGGCCTACTGTGTCCTTGGCATGGCAAGGCATGATCTCTCTGTGTAAGCTGGCATCCCTTTTACAAACACAGTTACCTTGGCAGAACTCTGCCTTTACTGCCATAGTTTTCATTTTCACATCTTGCCTCCTGATTTCCCAAAGTACCTCCTGTTTTGTATTATGAGTCTCTTCAACTTGCGTTTTTCTACTACAGTAGATTTTGGGTTTCATTCAGTCTATTTAGGCACTATTACTATTCCTGCATTGGAAAGTAAATTGCGAATCCTATTTTAAACACTTAGGATTGGCTAGAAGGATATATATATGAAAATAATGGAGTGTGTCACATGAGTTAAAAGGATGCTGTTGAGAGCACTGTTTTTAGAAAGAGCAGGCTGCTCGGTTGCCGTCTTCAGTTTGAACATGTTAAATCACAACTCCCATTTTCCTTTAAGTGTATCTCACTTGACAGAGTTTTTACAAGATTTCCTTTTGAGACTGGAGTATGAGTATAAAGCAATACAAGAATTTAATGTGATAACTGTAACCTACTCCAAACAGTGTTCTGAGCCTTTGTATGAGAAGCCTCCATTACATACAGCAGTTATGGGGCAAATGCTCATACTTTATTATTAAGAGTAGAACTCACCCGAGATGTAAACTTCCCGGGAGAGTTCTGCAAAGGTACTTTCATGCACTTAACCACTGCAGCCTTCTTAGCATCCTTATTTAATATGGGGTTCCAGTTATTTATAACTCTATTTTTCATTTGCATGTGTTCTAACTAGCACTGAAATTTTTACTATCATAGCTGGGTTGTGTTACTACTTTTGACAGCTTCAGTACAACTGTGATTCTCAAGGAATCCCCTAACTTTGAAAAAATTTGGCATTTGAATCTTCCTTGATACACAGAACAATTCAAGGTGCCTACAACACATCATTTAATAAATTCAGTGTGTTAAGCATGTGGTGATGTTTATGTGGAGATTTACATGAGACCCTAAGACTTAAAAATCTATTTATTACTTGAGGGATCTTGCTTTTGATATCTGATAAAGGTCAGAAAAAAAAAAAATTGACTCTTTGGCAATGCTTCCTATAAAGCAAAGTTCACAGATAACCAGGCAGCTTTCAGCTTGAGTGCTGAAAGTGAACCAAAGCTCTGTGTGTCATCAATGGGTCGTCTTCTTGAAAGAAGCACAGCTTTATCAAGAGAACAACCTTAGTGAGTTTTTGTTTCTCTTACAGTTGTGCTTTAAGAACATTGTTCTTAAAGAAACTGACAGCCACCAGTTGGTAGCCAGCAAAGTCAGAAGCGGCTTCACTTGCGTTTCAAAGGACAGACTTTGATCCATTATGTTCTAGCTCAATTTTTTTCTCCTTATTTCTAGTAGACTGTCAGAACCTGTCCAGCAAAAGGAGACCAGGTAGCATCTGGAAGCAAGACAAATCCATGGAGTGGTTTACAAGCAATGAAGAATGAAATACACCTGACGAGACAGAAACAGATACTGTGCTTTGCAGGACAACCTCTGTTCCATCACAGCACTATACCTGAGGATTCTGTTAAAATTTCTCCCTTTAAATAGTGGGTGAGGTTTCAAACTTTCTATACCATCAAAATCATAGCCATCATTACTTTAAGGTTATACAACTGGCAAAATGTAGCAGCTACTTCATAACATTTTATTTTATTCTGATACAATACTCAGATTAGCAGCTGACATCCCAGCAGCATCAAGCATGCAGTAGTCCAAACTTTCTCAGCTTGATAAGGAATGCTAATTAAAAAACAAAACAAATTACTGCTTCAGTATTTCAGCATACAAGGATTATTTTATTATTGTAAGTTTTATGGTTTTGTGATATAGTTATGTAGCAAATGCTAATAAAAACCAATAGCATTTTTAACAGTAAAATACCATGAAACATTTAAGATAAAAAAAACATTTTTAAGTGTCTCACCTGAATGAGCATCCTGCCAGGAAGATGGTCGAGCAACATAAGGCACCGAGCAGTGTGTTTCAGTGTCATCAGAAAGTGATTCTGTGAAAGAACCTTCTTTTGTTAACTCTTATCAACAAGTTCAAAACATAAAAGCAGACTAGAGGTGCAATGAGCATGGGTTATTTTCCCCTGACATATTTTCATCTTCTTTTTGCTTCTGTTAAAGTGCTTTGTTGTCACCTATCAGCACATTCAGACTTCTGTGCTCTACTATGGATTTTGCAAATCTGTACTAGTATGAGACATCTTTTTTGGATAAGCCAGAAGGGCATGATTACAAAACAGAGCACACTGGCAGTATTTCTTCTATGGAATCCTTAAGCCCATCAGGGTCCTCTAAAGCAGGTACAGGATGAGTACAGAGGACAATTTTATTAGAAACATCAGAGTCTGAAAACAGCAGAAGGGCGGTCATTCTTTATTTGCAGACTGCAGTATATTTTCTATTTAGTCTAGATTTTTAATAAAAGATATTTAAACATAAATAACCATTAACATGTCCTTCTTCCAATCTGACAAGGTCTAAGCTGGCCAAAAGCTTGTCTATTCTTTACAACAATCTCAGCTGACTTAAGGAAAAAAAAGCAAACATCTCTCACTACAAGCTTTTCCACCATCATATCCCTGGATTATCACACTGCATTAACAGGCTCTCTCATTAGCAATAATGTTCTTACCATTGTATTCACCTTCTGTAAGAACTACTTGATCCTGAAGGTTGTTTTCTTCATAGTCCTTTTGAGGTGTTTCTTCAATATTTTCTTGAGTTTCCACCACTTGGCTTGATTTGAAATTCTTGGGTTTAGCAGGGAGCACCAACCAGTCTCTATGAGTTACCTCAATGATCTTTTCACACAGAAAAGGGAGCCTGGAGGTCCGTATTCTGTCTAAAAGGTCAATAACCTGTGTGATGCTTTTGAAGAAATGCAAAGGATAAAGTAGTATTTCGAGAACTCAAATCATACACTGTTATTCTCAATTCTTGCTGCCTTTGTCACATTCTCTACCTTTGAGGTTACATGAATCCTTCCATTTTAGGGTAAAGGAGCTAGTAAGCTGACTACTTGATTTGGAAAGCAGTAGTTGTTTTGAGGGTATCTAAGTGCAGACTTCCACTGACCATAATGAGAACATTCCCAAAGTAAAGGCCAAAGGATTTGGCCAAATGTAATTTATGCTAAGTGTAACTCACACTGCCCAAAAAAAACCCCCCAAAAACCCCAAGAATTTCATTAAACATTTCATTGATGCTGGATGTATTTTTTTTTTTAAAGATGTTTGGTTTTGTGACAATGTTCAGTGATGACCAAATTAACTGTGTAAGTGCCAGAAGTAAATACTTACTTTGCTAGATACACAGCACACACACCACCCTGTTTCAGGCTTGGCTGTACAACAGGCAGAGCGGACTGAGGGTTAAGCATATCCAGAACTACCTGCAAGAGGAAGACACATTTTTTCCCAGTAAATGTTAACATATATGTATCATTTTTTCCCCTAACAATGCTTGAAAACACAATGTTCATCTACGGAAATGAACACATACAACGGCAGTATGTAATCACAAACCAGTTTTATTACTGCCTCTACAAACCTCAGAGAAACACAGATGTCCTCAAAGTTACAAGACAAAGACCTTGCTACTTCCAGATGAATGTGGAAACAGCAAATAGTGTTTCCAGATTCATTCCAGCGCAGTAGTCCTGTGTTAACATTAAACTTCCTACTAATTAAATTCCATAATGTTGGCATTAATAAAAATGTTTAGAAGACTGCATTTGCCAACACCTTTGGGTATTTAGTTTTCAAATTCAAAAAAAAAAAAAAAAAAAACAACCCAAAAAGTTCAAGCCCATCCGTATGATGAAGGGATCACACTGCATCCTCAATGTCTAACTTGCTCTTTGTTTCAAGATTCAGAAAGCTTTTGTCTTTGGCAATTTATTCATCTTCTGCTAGAAATCTATTCAAACTGGAAACCAATGGGACAGGCAATATGTGATCCTCCCTGTTCAAGTTTTAAAAGAATGGTGTGTATGCTCTGTATTTTATTTCTTTGCTCAAAGCATTTAACACAATTGTCATTTGTTTAAAGTGTTGCTGTACGTCGATCTCCTGCTTTACATGGCAGAATGGTTGCTTTCCCTGGCAAAATCTGGATATAGAAAGGGATGGGAGAGCAAGCAATGGCATTCCTTAGTCTAACTTAGGCCTTTGTTACCTTGCGCATTCTAGATAGCTGATAGCAAAGTGTTTACATATTTATATTTTCAATAAGCTTATGTACTTTTCTTAATGTTTGAAATATACGCCTTAGAGACAAAATTATCCATTTCTCCAAAATACAAAAAAGTTTGTCTTTGCCTACAAAGCAGCGGTGATTAATTGCGGTATTTCTGTACTACAGTCTTGCATTTGGGAGCCTGTAACTGAAACCTTGAAAGTACTTGTAACCTGACAAAACAAAACAAAAATCAGTATGTTTCTGTCACTGATGATCTGAGTGCTTTTTCTCATGTTCAACCAGGTATGAGAATCCTACTGTGAGTGTGAGCAGCTTGAGCAGGTTTGAATTTATGCAGAGAAGATAAATGTCAAATGGGGGGATTTTCTGGACTTACTGCATCAAGTATTAGCGATTTCATATCCATAGCTGCAGTTGAAATGTCTTTAAGAATGAAATCCACGTTATCTGGCCACTCTTCCATATGTCCTATTTTCCATGCAGCACACCAGTGCCTGTAATTCTTCTTAGCTAAACTATGATGATCATCTCTGATTTCGTAACTTACAACACGTCCTTTGGGCCCAACTGAAAATAAAGACAGACACCAGACTTCACGCTTTTCCCCCCATAATAAAGAATTATAAAAAAAGTAGTGTAGTAAATATCAGAAGTACACCTTTAAATTTCAACTTCACTTTAGGGAACAATCCCATATGAAATGATCAGTTACAACTTATTTTTACTTTACATTTAAAACCAACACATGCAAATAAAGTGCTGGGTTAGTTCTTTCACAGGCTGAAATCCATCAACCCACAGGTGAAATAAAGCACAGCTGTAGTACTACAAACTGTTCTCTAGATGTCCTCCCAAAGCAACTCCTGCAGCAGAAGATGACTTGAGCATCTGTGGCCCTCCCCGTAAATCTACGAGCTACCAGAGGTACCAGCTGAGGAAGCTGCAACATTGGTCACTACAGACACTGACCCTTCTGTTGTTAGTAAGGTTTGAAACTGCTGGGTTTAGATTTGTTTGACAACCCCTATTTTCACACAGGTTTGCCATTTTCCCTGCACAGCTCTTCTCCTGTTCTTCTTAGGGTTGGGGAAAGGCTGAGGAAACCCCCCAGACCTGCTTACTGATCTCAGCCCCACAGACAGGTTTTCAAGTAGGCTGTTGAATTTACACAGGCTTGTGTTATTTTCCTGTTACTGCTCATAACTGTAATAAATTATTACTGGTTTTAAGTATAAATTTCCTACCTAGAAATCTATTATATGAGTCCAATACACAATGTTCATAAACGAAGTGTTACTGGGATATCCAGGCACAGAGAATAGGGTGTGCCTTGCTTAGTATTTGATCTTTGTATGACCATGCTATTAGCTTCTCTTTCTCCTTGCAACTTTGTGAAGGGAGAAAGCAGCTGTCAGCAGCTCAGCGGGTGAGGCTCTGTGACTTTGTTGGACATTTTAGATGGGAGTCACCAGGCTCCTTCTCTTACCCACATGATCCAACTGTGAATCCATTCAGAAATATGGCCCCCTCCCCCCCCCCCCTGCCAA